GTTAAATATTTAGGAAAAGGGCTTCTCATTGACTCATAGTATTAATCATTTATGTTCTTGTATCTTGTTTATATTATTTATGTTATCTGAGGTGATCTTCATTAGTAGCAACTTAATGCATGACATGATGAGATTATCAAATTAGTTAGCTTTAACTACGACACAGAAGGAGAGAAGACCCCACAAAAGAGGCTCTTGGCAGGCATTTGAATTCTGGCTACTGAGTATGGAAAACAACACTTAAAAAGAGAGTTCAGGCCACCAAATAAAAGCCAGACCCATACGATATGCCTTCAATTTGAAATCAGTAGTAAAAAATATTGTAAGGGGCACATTGGCATTCCTCAGTGAAGTAATGAAGAAGGATGCTTACCAAGACCTTTAGATTGGTGAAACAATCTCAGTCCAGCATGACAATATTCACAATTTGCCCAGGGACACTTCTCATTGCCAAGTGATGATAGCACATTCTGAGCCACCACTCCTCAGTATTATGACTTTCATAATTTAGCTAAGGGATAATGGTCTTCCTTCTCAAGAGAGGTTGGAAAGAGGTCTCTTGAGGCCCAGTTTATAACTTCATCTGGCAGACCCATCCATTCTTACAGACCCATCCATTCTTATCGTCTGGGCCAAGAGGAAGAAGAAAGAAGGAAGGAGGAAGGCTAATCATCCTGATGATTTGAAATTGTTTAGAACACAAAACCAATTTGGGAACTGTTGAGAGAAATGAGTTCTTTTCTAATCCCAAAGAGGTCCAACCTCTGTTAGCATTTCAGAACTGCTTTGTAAGGTAGAGATTACCACAGTCAACCTCAGCATGCTTGTCCTCTTTGGAAAGCTGAGATCTGTTTTAGTTCTGATGTTGCCCCAGAATAGCTGTTTCTGACATCCACTGGTCCCTTCACAGTCTCAGGCCCAGAGGATAATGGCAGTCAGGATTGGCTTGCTCTAGCTACCTATAAGAATGCTTGGGTCAGCCAGATAAGTTATAAACTAGACCTCAATAAACTTATTTTCTATCTTTCTTGAGAAGGAAGACCCTTATATCTTAGCTAAATTATGAAAGTCATGATACTGAGAAGTGGTGGCTCAGAATGTGCTATCATCACTTGGCAGTAAGAAGTATCCCTGGACAAATTGTGAATGTTGTCATGCTGGACTGAGATCGTTTCACCAGTCTAAAGGTCTTGGTAAGCATCCCTTTAAGGAATTTTAGATGTGCTTAATTCTTCACTTACCATAACACTTTGATTCACTTAAGCGTGTCATTGTGGAGAACATTTCTGTTTCAGCATCTTCTATGTATCAGATACTCTTCTATACACTGTCAATATGAAGATGAATAGAATACACTAGCCCATAGGAAAGTAGCTGCCAGAGGAGCTGCACCTCTTCATTGCATTCACTTTAATGCAGTGAATGAATGATTTCATATGGCAGGGTGACTTCTTACAAGCTAAACGTCAGTAATGTTCATTAGTAAGTGAGAATACAATTAGAAACACTTGCTACTGATAGTGTGAACATACTCTTCTGTTACAAGATGTCCTTTTAGCACATTTGAATTTCTCAGGGGGGAAAACTCTCCTCCAATGTTTTATATGAGGTCTGATGTGTCTAGGTAACCTTCAATAAATATGTCGACTTAGTTATCTTTAGCATTTATACTATCTTCAACAAATAATCATATGGCAATGTTGGCATCTACTCAATGCTGAGCAGAAGTTAAAAACCTAGGAAAGGGGTTCTTGTAGAAAAATAAAAGTCATGGTTTAGAACATTTTTGTTATCTCCTCTCTCAATTTAGGCTGGGCCTTGAAATTAGCATCTTTATAAATTGAAGAAAGACCCATGTTTTGGTGCTATTCTTTGATTGAGTTGGGACTGTAGGTGAAGGAGCATATCCTTCACTTAAGCTGTAGAGTTATTTCTGAAATGATATTATTAAGTACAGGCAGGGCCAGGGTGTAGTTGAAGGTATGCTTAAGTATTTAATTAGTATTCAAAATGCCCAGCCCACTTTATTTGGCAACTGTACAGATTAATTTAAGGGAGTTGGTACCAAAAATAATTTTATGATAGCTAAGTAAAATGAATATAGGAATATTTACTTCCTTGAATCATTGCTAAACCTCTAAAATGTTAAACATGGATTTATATACAATGAGCTGGTGTAGGAAAGCAAATATTAAACACAAATAGTTTAATCCAACAAAGAATTTCTCTGGAAAGAATAAACACTAAGTGACTGTTTTGGGCAGGAAAGGAGTGGAAAGAAAGGGCAGAGGAATGCTTCCTTGCTTAATTGTTTACAAACTGTTGTTAAGAGACAAACACAATTCTCTCTATGCCCAGATTATGTAACTTATTGGGAGTGTGCAGCCTTTTCCGTTCAGCAACGCTGATAATGACGCTAACAGTTTAATTACAACTTGCTGCTTAAGGAGATAAACAAGGCTGTTTGCTTTTTAAACCAGGGGTTACAATTACTTTTAAACGTGGAGGAAAGGCACATCTGCGAGTACATCTTACTTTGTTAGGAAAGCAACCAGAAACCAGCTGGAAAATAAACAAAGCCCCAGGAGTGAGCAGCCGGCGCAAAATTAGAGCAAAAATCACCCGATTTGAGCTGTGGAGCAGTAGGCGTTGAGGCGTAGTAAACAGGTAGCAAATGTAGGTGGGCAGAGATAGAAAAGTTTTCGGTTACCAGATCCTAGGCATTTTTCCTAGGATTCCATCACAGAGAGGGACTGAACAGCCCTCGCTCCAGGTCCACCTTACAGCCACGTCTCCGCCTCACCGTGCTGCACTTCAGCACCACGAAGGGAGGACAGTTCCTTGGACTGCAGTCCAGAGCACGCTCAGACGGCTCTCCCTTCTTTACCAACATCCTCTATACAGCATTTCTCTCTCGCTCGCTGGTGTCTTTCTTGCCACTTTGCATTTAGGGGTATTTCAAGGAACATACAGACGGGACCGGGTGCTTGTCTGGCTTGTTTATTTTGGAAAGAAGGGGACACATGTCCTCCCTGAGCCAATCTTTTCATTGGACTACAGAGCAATACAACCAGAATAAAAGACTGAAAGCCACTGTTGGCAAAGTGGCTCAACGTAACTGAGTAGTAGCTGAAACTTGAAACTTTTTTAGTGCTCTATTTTATTGTTTTGTTAAAAAATACTAGTAGAAGGTAAACAACATATAGTAACTGCTGCCTTAGCCCTTTTCCTCTAGTACTAAGCTAGACACTAATGGAATGTAGCAAGGGGCCAATGGAATAATGTCTAATATTACTGGATTGGGAAAATAATACTGTTCCTAATGGAAACTCTTCTCAGTCCCTTACAAGACCTCTCACAACCATATGCTGAATCCGAAGCATACAGGTAGGGGATTAACACTTTCAAAGTGATCACCATGGGCTACTACAGCCTGCCACAAAAATCGCCAAAGTTTTCTCAATAAAGTTCTCTTTTCCCCAGCCCCAAAGCCAGAGGCAAACATTTCAAAAGGGACAGGATATGTATGATTAAAATAACCAAACCACCAAGACAAAAATTACACTCCAAGGAACTTGGCTACTCTAGCACACTCCAGCCATAAAGATTTGGTTGCTTAACCAGTGCATTTTGCTTCTGTATGCAGTTTTCCCTTCTGTTTAAACTTCTCAATGGGGAATAAAATACCCATCATTTGGAGGTTCTCTTTGCTTCAACACATGTGCGTGCGCACACACACACACACACACACACTGATTCATTTCCATTTTTAAGAGTTAATTTCCTAAAGGAAAAGGTATGGTCTGGTTTTAAAACTTATTTTAAGTGAGAATCTTCAGGAAAATGCCTGCAGTATTTTTGCACTGGAGTTGCTAGAATAACAAGGAACCCTGGAGAAGAAGACACAGAAGCTAGGACTGAGGCTCAGGAGTCATTCAGAAAAGGCAGCACTCTGAAATTAGTGGCGAGCAACTTCCTCCAGTGACAGTGACCACACACTGGTAACTCACTCAGTGGGAGTGTGCAGCAGCAGCTGGAGTCTGGGCGTCTCTTATTGGATAGCCTGAGTGGACTCAATTGAGGCACTTTTTACTCTGAATCCCTCAGTCCTCATTCTGCTGCTCCCTCCTTCTTTCCTTCCTTCCTTCCATCTTTCGCTGTCTCCTCCCTTCCTCCCCATCTCCTTCCTTCCCTCCCTCCTTTACCTCAGTTACTCTTTTCACTTAATTCTATCTGGGCCACTTTGGGCACCGGTTTCAATGAAAGCATCAAATCACCTAGCATGTGTCCTATAGACCATGTTATTATTACCACCACCAGGGTTGCTTCCCAACTGCTTGGTGCAAGGAAAAGGTTCTGTTCCCAGCAGTCAACCCCACCCCCTCTCCTTACTCCAACACTGCAGCGGCAGTGTCACCCCGTCAACATCACCAGGGTCTGAATGTCACCAACAAGTTCCACCCTGTAGTAGCCCGGTCAGCGAACCTCAGCCACAGAGCCTGGCCAGACCCTCCGCCCGCAGCCAGCGCCGCCAGCAGCATCCTGAGCCGCTGTGGTTACTCCTCACATCATTGTCACCACTGACAGCACTTTCTGCTCCTCATGGCAGGGGAAGCCCGCGTGCGACTCCTGGTCGGGTGTAGAGCTCCGCGTACTACCCTCCCCCACCTCTGCAACACACACACACACATACACTCGCACGCACGCACACACACTCACACACGCGCACACACACACATGCACACACGCGCACACACACATGCACACACACACGCATGCACACACACACATGCACATGCACACACTCACACACACACATGCACACACACACACACACTCCTCACACCGGCGACACAAAGAGAGCGACTGAGCGAGCGCCTGGTGGGGGAGGACGGGGGCAAGAAGGGACACAACCGGGAGGGGACCCCAAAGGGGGGCGGGGTGCCGAGCCAGCCGGCCAGGAGCGAAGCAAGGAAGGGAGGCCAGAGGGTCGTCCTTACCTGCCCCCAGGTTGAAGGAGATCCTGGCCTCGGCGAGGTATGGCGTGTCGCTCTTGGAGCGGACTCTTCTGATGGGCCGCCGGTCTATATCATCCTCCGAGGATGTCGCCATTAATGTGGGAGGCAGGAGCAGGGTCGCCCGGCGAGCTGAGAGGGAGAAGGAGACGGAGACAGGCGGAAAAGGGGGGGAGGGGAAGGGAAGAGGCGCACACGGAGAGGGGGAGGGGAGAGGAG